CGAGCACGCAAGAACTGTTGCTCCTTCGTACGTTCCCTTTGAGGGGACAACGAGAACATCCCTGTCAGGCTGCGGCAGGGAAGAGCGTCAATCACTGGTTCCAGCAGCGGGTTTTTCTTGTCTGGGAGCAGCAAAAGCAAGTCGAGACGCCTTTGCGGTGCACGGCCGACACCGACAAAGATGAAGGGCCTTGCCTGTGCGGTAGTGCGCCGCCATGTCGCGACAGTGCGGCATTCACAAACGGAACCCGTAGCGGTGAAGAACCCGTCGTCGACCTGGCGGCGTAAAATTGACCCTGGTTGCGGCAGGTAAGTGCGTCGTCCACCAGACCTTGAGCCCGTTGCTTGCCCAGAGTCGGGGAGCAACAAAAACAAGTCTAGACGCACTCTACGTCGCTCGCCGCACGCGACCGCAACCTGAAGCGCGTGCCCCCCCCCCCCCCCCCCCCCCCTTGGCGCGGAGAAGTGCGCTACCATAACGCGACGGTGCGAGTGGTTCTGATTCGATGGCGCCTGGCCACAGCAGGACCACCATCTCTAATCCCCCGCGGATTATCTTGTCTTGAGCAGCAAAAAGAAGCACTGAAACACTTTGCCCAATGTGGCCAGCGCCGGGGACGCACGTCTCGCTTGGCGTTATGCCGAAACGCGAATGAAATACGCGCCGCAGATGCGTCGGCACACATACCACTGGACAGTTGTTGTGCACATCGCGGCCGTGAACGAGGGAACACGGTGGACGTCGTAAAAAGATCTTGGCTGATCATGGCAGTATCGTGGCCCGTTCCAGTGGTCGTTAAACAACAGTCGGGGTTTAAGCGAAGTCGTATTGCCGCCTACAAGATGCGCTTCGCCAGTTGTTAACGGATGGACTTCAGGAACTTCTTTATTTTGTTTGGTGTGGCATGTAGAGCCTTCAACTGATCTACCCACAGTTCGCGTCATCATACATTCTATCGATTATCCCTCACACGCTCAGCAAAGAAGATTTTACCAACATATACCACGGCTATGCATAAGCAAGTGCTTCCGTCTGCTACACAGCTACCGGCTGTCAGCGTCTGTCCATCCCCATCAGTACGTTCTCTTGTTCCGTTTCTGAGTCGCCGCTGACTTATTCAACTCCAGTTGGAACAGTCTCCGGATGACCCTACGCCCACTGCCCAGGCGTCAGGCAACATGGTATGTATGTCAATGCGTGGCTAAGTAGTTCGCTTGCTCATATGGTTTGCTCCAACTTTCTAGGGCAAGATGCCTCCTGCGCATGGTTCGAGGACACAGGCAATTCTTGAGTGGTTGCAAGAGGTACGTTGGCCTTCGTTACGTTCGTAAGCCTTGGACGCGCACTGATGGTAATGCTTGAGTTAACGGCGATGATTGTGCGAAAGGTGGGGGGCACGGTTAAGCAGCGGTCTGAGTCGCCGCCGTTGTAGATCCCACAAGATTCCGGTCGACAAACAGGTGAAGATGCAGGATATGGTCTATCTCCTCTGTGTTACTGTATAGCTGCCTATCCCAATGTATAATAAATGGAGAGAGGCTGTATTCAGCGCCGTGGGGTCAACATCATCAACGGAGGTGTTACAAACCGACAAGATCATACAACTCTCTCTAGGTCTAGATTATTATTTTTGCTACAGATATCTGGTGGCAACGCCAAGGAAGGTGCCGTCTTGGATTCGGAATTAAAACCCCCGACAGAATCGACAACGTTGACGCGTATTGTAACGTTCAAGTTATACATTGAGTCGGACATGACGACGTAAAAAGATTTCGAGACTATTTAGCCCGTACATATTGCAAATTGAATCTGTGCGATAGTCCGACTCGTTGTATGCTCTCTTCTGGATGACAGCGATTTATGCGAAGAGACAACTTTACGGCACAGCCACACGTGCACCAATCAATCGTGCCTATTACTTATGTATATATCGGTTACATGGGCTAGGAAGTATTGAAATAACGGTGCTCGTCGCTACTCGGATAGCGAAAGACCCTGCAGGGGAATTTATTCGTACCTGGAGGTAACTGAAATGGAAAAGTTAGCAATATATGCGAGCATTCAAGCTTAAGAGGCTTGTCGGACAAAGGAAACAAACGGAAGGAATGTGGTACTGAAGCGTCGCAGACGCCGTTGACAGCGCGCTGTGTGCGTGCTCGACTTTCGACTTGCAACTTGAACGGTCGATAAATAGACTGATGGTCTAGACTTGGGTCTAGAACCTTCTACTAGAACGCCAGTACTCTCGATCATGATCGGAGCTGCATGCTAAGGGCTCTACTTATAGCTAAGGTTTTGCATTGGCCCTTTTTTCTTTGGAAAATCCAAATATCTATCAGGCGGAAAGATATAGAAAATATCCTAAATAACTGTCGTGATGTGACTCATAACGTGATGTGACAATCCGCGTCCACAATTACCAATCTCAGTTCTAAAACTTTCCGCCAATACATGAACATGGACAAGCCTGCCAAAGCGACCTGTGGGCGCTGTCGTGCCAAAAAGATAGCAAGTCATACTTTGGCCAACGCTAGCCTCCGTTCTCACCTTTACACTCTTCCGCAGCGATGCGATGGCCAGTTACCGTGCGGACCATGCCTCAAGGGGCGTATCGACGTCAACTGCAGCTACACTGCAGCTCACAGCAGCATTTCCAATAGTCCGTCGGATCTGCGCAAAGGTGCTGCTTGTATTGCCTGCCGGTGTGCATTACTTTCTTCGATGTGAAATGTTAACTCCAACATCTCGACAGGCGTAAGAAGAAGGTCAGTTAACTCATCTTTTCCGTCTGAGTCATCTTAAACTAGAATGCTGTCCAAGAAATGCACCGGCGACTGGCCATGTCATGCATGTATTGCTGCAAAGAAGGAAGACGACTGCAAGTATAACGATGGCAGCCAGCTCAGCTTCACGAGAGCTCTGATTGATCGGACTCTCGAGCTGGAACAGCTACTCTCTGAGGCTAAGCAAGCGCCTCAAGATATGTCAACTGATACTGTAGACATAAATTTCTCGGCTGAACTAGATCAGCTGCTTTCGTCGAACTGCTTGGCTCCCGAACCCATACTCTTCGATCCAGATCTGTTGTTCAACCCGGAAGCAAGTGACGCGACGTATTTTTTACCGGAGGAGAACACCCTCGAAACTCAAACGATGTACGATCCTACAGCAGCGGAGGCTTCGACGCTCGAGATCCTTCAAGGACCAGAAGAAAAAATGTTGCGTCTGTGAGTTTAGTTCAATCATATCAGAGTCAAATATTCTCACCGTACCATTCAGCCGAAAAGCGTTCCTTGCGAAAAGGATCCAATTTGGCTTTATTCTGCCTGCGCACAAACTCGCGGCAGTTATAAACGGTGATTTGTCGGGGACCATCGTACACCCTGTACTGGTCCATGTCTGTCACCTTTGGGGTTATATGCTTGAATACTGCGAGAAAAACCGTACCTGGACGTCTTCTGCAGAGAGCAATGCCGACGAGGTAGAGCAGCTGCGCCTTGTCCTAGGGTCGCTTGCGGGGGTGCTCGGGCCTGCTCCGGACCCCGTTACAACGCTCATGACGTATTTGAGCGTCTCGCTCTACTTCTTTCACATGCATGATTTCAGACGTGGTCAAGAGTTTCTCACCGTCGCCAGTAATACGGCCTTAATGAATGATCTCGACTTGGCAGCCCTGGCATATGTTCGTGCTGACGAAGATGACAAGAGCATGTACTCCTTGCTCCCTCTTACCGACGGCGACGAAGTACGTTCTGCGTACTCGGCGTTGATATACGTCGCGATGAGCGCACAAGTGGTTCTAGCTATGCCATCAGTAGTTGACTCTCGGTTGGTCGAAACATTCGACCGTCTCATGGTAGGCAGTGACCACACTGCTTGGTGTTTTGTTTAAATGTACTCATTTTACAACCAACAGACAACCGACATTCCGAACAACGCAGACATCAACTTCCAAAGAGCGAAAAGCGTCCGGCTCTTGAAGCAGACGCGCGAGCTAACTTTTGCCTGGAACCACGGTGCGCACGTTCGACGCTGTCACCGCCAGGTTCAAAATTTTGCATTCACTTTCCACAGCCCGTAGCCCTCCGCCGTCATGGGCAGAACGATACTGGAAATTAGTGGAGCAGTTGCACATCTACGTCGGCCGCCTGAAGCCAATACAGCTTCGCGCCTCCTTCATCCCCGACGCGCACACCACCGAACTTGTGCTGAAGATCTCCTCAACGATTGCGCTCGCCGCCCTCGCTGATCTTCACAGCATCTTCGCGCCGTCTCATGTCGAGTCGTCGAAAAGGTATCGCGATGCGGTGTTAGAAATCGTCTGCATCACAAGCACATTCTCCATGGATGACTGCCAGTACCTCGACCCTATCCTCCCAGTACGTTGTATACACATCTCGCTCTGATTCTCCGCTGCCCTCCTTTTCTTACGTGCACTCAAGGTCTGTTGGTCAGTCGCGACAAAACGGATCCTGGACAATCAAGTCATGTATGAGAATCAAGAATCTATCATCGCGGCGATTCGGGAGTGCAACCAGAACCTGCAGCAGGTGCTGCCGTTGGTCACTGACTTTGAGACCTTGACTGTGTCATAATATGTACGGGTTCACGGAATATCACCCACCGTGAACACCAACAAGGCGGATTATGAGGTCAAACAACGTAGGTATGTAATGTGAATTTTGAGAGACGTCCAGAGGTGGCACCACATGTGGCGAGGATGTGCTCACTACAGCTAGGAACCCACGGGCCACCACAGTCCCACTTTCCGCGGAGCAGATTCTTTCATTGTCGTACACATAACAGAATGCACTATGTACTTACATGAATGCATACACAATTTTTTGAATTACCCACCATCGGCATTACTCGCATTACATAATTAAACGTCTTCCGCACGACCAACTGTTCAGCGCTCAGCGGCCGGACTCTTTAACACTGAATGGAACGGCGACAATGCCTAGTTCACTTGCATATACTGTCCTGGCAGATAGCTCATATCCCTCTTAGCTCAGTTGGTAGAGCGCGTCACTAGTACAGCAGTTGTTAATGACGAGGTCAGTCGTTCAAATCGGCTAGCGGGAATATCTTTTATTTTCTTTTATTTTCTTTGGGCGAGTTTTATTTGTTTTTACCATTAACCTAGTTCACGAGTGGCATTGTGAATCCAAGAGACCCTCAACACACATTATGGGCATAAGAAATAGATTCCGCCGCTCCGAATCCAGGAGCGTGCATAGAAAGACAATACAGATGAGACATAGAATACGGTACGATGTATAAACCGGGTGTACGAGATCAAAGAACATGAGGAAGAACAAGAGGACAGACACAGAGAGGGCAATAAAAAAAAGTCTACAAGCACAACAAGCGCCGTTCATAGCTCGTCGTCCGAGACATCCTCGCCCCGCTTCTTCCGTGCAATGCGCTCCTTCTTAGCCTTGAAGTGGAACACAGTTAGCAGTTGTCGAGAAGTAAGATGGACGAGACAAACTTTGCGTGCTTCCCCGGCAGTGAGCTTCTTCAATTTCTTGACGTCGATCTTGTTGCCCATCGCGTCGTACATGTCATCAGCATCGCCATCCTGCTTGTCAATGCGGGGACCTGATCCCTGACCCTCAACCCAGTTGTGGCCAGACGCCTCGAGCCGTCCGTCCCGCATCGCCCAAACCCTGCGCATACCCAGTCAGCATCTGTGCAGCGAAGAAACAAATAACAGGCCACGTACTCAGTGCACAGAGACTCGGAGAAGTCGCGGTTGTGCGTGATGACGAGCACACCGCCCTCGAAAGTCTTCAGCGCCTCGATAAGTGCTGCGAGCGACTCGCGATCGAGGTAGTCTGTGGCACAGACAACATCAGGTGCCGTCCCTCTCACACGATAGGACACGTACTCGTCGGCTCATCCAGACACACGATATGCGGGCGGCGCCACGTCGCAGCACCGAGGACAATCTTGACCTTCTGTCCTCCCGAAAGACCACGCATCGTGTTGTGGCTGACGAACTCGGGCTCAAGACCAAAGTCCGCGAAGTGCTTCTCGATCTCGCGACGCACAAGCGGGCGCAGCAGACCAAGGCGCTGTGCTTCGCGGGTGTCGACCTCGAGGACTTTCTGTGGCTCAAGTCAGCATCCACCAAAAAATAGACACGATGAAACAACAAACCTTCTCGAAGCCGCGCTTGATGAGGTCGTCACGCGGCAGCCAAATGTTCTCCGACGAGCTGAGGCCTTTGAGCGAGACCTCATACTCATATGACTGCTTGAGCTTCTTGCGCGCAAGGATCTCGTCAATGAGCCGCTTCTGTCCCTCAATGACGATGAGTGCGCCATCCTTCATCCTCTGCGCCTCCTCCTCGGTGATGATGCGCGACGCCTTGGTCATCTCCTCCAGATCCTCACCAGTCTGGTACCGCCACAGCATGTACTCCAGCGGCGTCTTGTCCAGGTGGTTATCGATGTGGTGGAACGCGTGCTGTGCGACGTAGCCGATGACGAGGTTGGGGTGCTTCCAGATCTCACCGCCCTTGTTCGGCTCCATGTCGCCAATGAGCAGCTTGACGAGCGTGCTCTTGCCGGAGCCGTTGGGCCCGAGGATGGCGACACGCGACGAGAGCGAGACCTGCAGCGTAATGTCGTACAGCTGCTGAACAGGCTGGGTGGGATACTGGAACCCGACTTTACGCATCTTCATGAGCGACTTCTCCTTCGTTTTGACACCCTCGAGGAGCGGGGGGTCAGGGAGCTTGAACTTGTAGTCCTCCAAGGCCGCAAGGGTGTAGTACGACTTAGCCTCGGGCACCTGTTGCACGAATTTCTCGAGGTTGCCACGGTAGCGGCGCAGCTTGAAGCGGTTGAGGTGCAGCGCATCCGTGATCGTGTTGTTCAGGAAGCTGGAGTCGTGCGACACAATGACTGGGTGAGTATTAGTACCGTACCGCGTCAAAACGGAAAGAATGCGTACTCGACGTGCACGTCTTGAGGGACGTGAGGTAGTTCTCGAGCCACGCGATGTTGACGACATCGAGATGGTTAGTGGGCTCGTCGAGCAGGAGGATGTCCGCGCGGAAGAGCATAGCACGGGCCAAAGCAAGCTTCATCTTCCAACCACCGGACAGGCTGCCGATGGCTTGGGCCTGGCGCTCATCGTTGAAACCGACGGAAGCAAGCGTCGAGATGACATCCTCCTTGTCCGCGAGGATGCGCTTGTCGGTGAGGATGAACTCGAGCACAGAGGTATCCTCCTCGCTGCCATCGATATCGTGCTCAACGTAGAAGGTGCGGACTTCGTCGGGTGACGGGAAGCCCTCAACCTGTCTGTACAGAAATCAGTACACGATCGAAGCCATTAGGGGAAAACACAAACCCATTGCAGATGGCGCGCATGAGCGTCGACTTGCCGGTGCCGTTCTTACCGCACAGACCATAGCGGTGCCCACGTTTCAGGCGAAGCGTGGCTGTGTTGAGCAAAATCTTTGCACCATACGCAAGCGAGAACTGGCAGTTGCAAAGGTCCTCGCCTTCCTCCTCGTCCTCCGGAACCTCGGCCGAGTCGTCGTCCTCCACCGCAGAGCGAACGACCCACTCGCGCGTGACAGAAATAGGGTCGGGGGTGGAAGCGACGAAGGCCAAGTAGGGCGCGAGCCCGTCCCACTGTGGAACGTCAAAGTTCTTCAGATTGACGAGGTTCGTCGCCAGCGATGAGGTGTACACGGTGGTGACGTCGGACGCGGGGAGTTCGCCGCCGAGCTTCTTGTAGATGGCGCCGAGGGACTGGGTGAGGGCACTGGCCTCAACGAACTTGAGCGGCGGGAGGTCAGAGCCGTCGCCAGTGGGAACCTCTCCGACCTGACGAAGGGTGGCGATGGCCTTGCCAATGACGCCACGAGCCTCAGGGTCACCAATGGTGGTCTCGACCTTGATGAGACCGGGAAGGAGCTTGGGAATGAAGGGGCGGACAGTGACAGGCGAGTCGACGAGCTTGGCCATGTTGTCGACAATGCTGCGCAGACACCATGAGCTCTGATGAATAGAAATGGGGAAAAAATGGGACGTACACCGCGACCTTACGCTTGGTAGCCGTAAGCTTCTCATTCAGACCACGGGACAGCAGTGGGACCATCAGGGAAAGGGTGGGGGAATCTACTTCGGAAACGAATGTGGTAGCCGAGAGGAGGGCGATGGTGTTCGGTACCTCCTCCACGGGATTAATTAGGGATTTGATAAGAGCCGGAATAAAGCGTTCAATATCCTTGTTAGACACCAGGGCGGTGGCCTTCGTAAGCGAATCACGGGCCGCCTTCTTCACGTCAGCCTTGGTGTCCCAGATGGCTTCCGACAGAACAGGAACAATGTCGGGCATGAGACGAGCCGTCTGGGTCGGGGCGCTGACGACGAGCTGGTTGAGGACCACCAGGGCTCCAGTCTTGACCTGCCACTTGCCGGCAGTTTTGATTTCGTGAAGAAGGGCGGGGAGGATGAGGGCTGTAGCCCACGGGTTCATGGCGGAGACGTACTCGCGCACGGCCTCGACGGCGGTATTGCGGACGTCGGGCATTTTGTCGGCAAAGGCTTCTAGGAGGGCAGCATAGATGCCCGAGCTGATGAACGTCGGCTCGAGGGCTCTTACGCCGCCTTCCTTGGCGAGCGTCAGGATGGTGCCAGCAGCGCCCTGGCGGGCAGCAGGTGACTTTTTATCGGCAAGAGCCTTGGAGATTGCATCAGAGACGGCAGTGAGCGCAGCGGGGCCCTGCTTTTGGGCAAGAGCAGCGAGGCTGGCTGCCGAAGCATCGCGAGTGGCTTTGTCAGTGACAAAAAGGCTGGACACATCGAATTCCTTGAGGGAAACGGGGGCGGGGGTAGCAGCGGGCATTTCTATAATCTGCAAAGGCATTTTGAATGGATTACTGGCGTCGAAAAGAGGATGCCGACCTTTAGATGAGATATATTGGTAAAAGAGTCTATGTGGTTGCAGACGAGGCTAACAAGGACAGAGAACGCTCTATAGGCAAGGTCTACGGTGGCTGAAAGCCTGGGGAGGTGTGAGAGAGCGCAATAAGCAACGTGCCCAGCATACCTCTAGGGAGGAGAAATGGGGAAGGAAGAAACGCAAAAGGCGGACCGCTTTTGTTGAAGCCTGATGGGCACTTTTTCAAGCTCCGCTTGAAAAAACACAGCCCACGTGCACCGCATATCACTAATTGTTTCTTATCTTGCCTCCGTCCTTAGCTGCCCGTCGTGTTGGGCTTCCCAGAAGCTCAAACGGAATGCATCCCAAGGTCGACTTGACGCAGAGCAGCCCTCATGGTCAGATGGACGCACCGACGACCACATATCTCGTATCGCAGCGATGTACAAACTATTAATCCAGGAGCTCGGGCTAGCTCGGGACTGCATGAGATGAAACCATCATTATCGGGGAAAACTGATGGACCTGACAGCGGGGAAGTTGGCAATGTGGGGTTTACGAGATAAGAGAAAATTCCGGATGTTGAGCGCATGCGGGGAGCAGCGGGGAGCTCGCACGTTTGCGAGATAAGAGAAGATTCTGGATGTTGAGCGCCGCAGGTGCCAGCTAGTACAACTTCGATGTGAGGCTCGGTGCCAACTTTTCTGACACACGCAAAAGCATCTTTACGGTTTTTTTTGAATAAATTACTTTGACTCAAGTACTTGAGAAACCTTTACGAAGTGTTTGATGTAATTTCCGGAGAGTTCGCTGAACTCGTGGATACTTGCTGGACAGTGGACGTCCGACATTGGACAGCAGGAATGTTTGGACCCGAGAACCTCGCAACCATGAAAATTACTACCACCCAATCTTGTCGAAATTAAAATTTATAAACCTGCTCTAAATTTAGTACTCGCACTCAGCATCCGCACCGACTCCGGATCGCCAGTAGATCCCCATCCCACCCGGGCTGGCACGTCGGCTGCCGTGGCATTCCTCCCAGCTCTGCAGGTGCGCCCACTCAGGGAGCATCAAGTCAATCAACGCAAAATAGCAATCTTTCTGCGCATCTGTCGTCAAGTTTCAACGCGCTCCGCAAACACCGGCGCACGAGTTCCGATGCCGTGCTCGCACGG